GATTTAACGAAATATTGGTATTGTTCATGCGAATGTTTTGCTTAAAGGATGAGTATTCGGTGGGAAGACCACGAATAACAGCATTCACCACATCACGTTCAGGGATCTCTTCTTTCAAGGCATCGAGATCCGAGAGAATAGTTGCCACATCATCAAGGTATTGTGTCATAGTTTTGGTACCTTTACGAAGAGTGTGGAGTTTGTCCCGAAGCTGATAAACATGAGCGGTGGACACGGAGTTGTACCGTGCGGCCAAAGCATCCCAGAGGGCAGCACATGTGGTGAAGCCGCGAGCATGTTTGTGAATGGAGGGGCTGATGACCGCTAGTAGGCAGGTGCGGATCTGTGTGTCAACGATGGTCCAGGAGGTATACTCTGGATTAGGGACAGTTTTATCGTTTTTGGAGATAGTTGGCGTCGGGGCTGCTTCATGACCATCAATCCATCCAAGGAGGAGATTAGCTGAAAGAGCTGTCTGGACATTGAGAGACCATGCCGGATAATTTGTTTCGGTGAGTTTTTCTGGGATTAAGTTGTGGAGACTCCGAAGCAAAAGTTTTACTCCGGAGGGTAAGGATGCCAAAGGATCCGACGGGGCTGCCATGGTGGGCGGCGGTCGGAAAAAAAGAGAGGCTAGGTTTTTGAGAGCCTTAGCTCTGATACCATGATACAATTTGATAATAACTTGTCTTATTGAATATTGAGAGATATGGCCCTATATATAGGGAATACAAGAGTAATCAAAGTACAAGTAGGAAAGGAAAGAATAATCCTAGTAGGAAAGGAAAGAAGTATCCTAATTTAATTATACTTCCTAATACTAAAGCATACACCACATGTATGCACTAGCAAAAGTCACATACATGCATACATTTAATCATACATGACGCATGCATAATAACAACAATAACAACCCAGTTAAATCTCACAAAAGTAGGGTCTGGGGAGAGTATGTGTACGCAGACCGTACTCCTACTCGAAAGTAGAGAGGCTGTTTCCAAAGAGACCCCCGGCTCAACGTCGAAAGTTGCATTGCTTAACTAACTGCTACTTCATTAATTAAAGAAGCGCAGACAGCTTAGAGATCCATTTTGATTTATTCCATCACATCCCAAAGCCAAAAAATGGTAAAATTTTGGCTCCATCCGAGATGATAATAAATAAACGTGAAATGATTCTTGCCCCTAAAGAAAAATTAATGACAACACCTTCTTCATGAGATCATTATCTCCAACCCATCTTATCTTCTTTAGTAAGCTTCATCACGAACGGCTATTTACTCTCTTGTCTTCGTTTATATAATTTTGATAGAAAAAAATATGAGGTATAAAAGAGAATTACATCTAGAGTATACAGGCGAGGCACGACACGTAGGCCGTATTTACAAATTTCAATAAATTTAATTTGGCCACAATCATCAACCATGAAATAATATATAAAAGCATGAAATGCACCTCATCTTACATATTAAATAACATATTATTGGGCAAATCACGCTCGCCCCAAAACTCTAGTTTATTCCGTTCTACGGAATAAACTATTAAAAAATAAATCAATTAAACAACCTAACAATTTAATTAAAATTGTATAAACTTTTTTAAAATTCAAGAATTTTAGAAATTAATTTTCGGAATTCTAGAAAAAAAATGTTTTATATTTTATTGTAACATATGTATTTAATGAAAAACGGGATTTTATTTTGATTTAAATACATATATGTTTTCTAAATTTTAAAATAATTATTGGAGAGAACCAAAAAACTTTATAAATATGAACATTTTAAAGTTCCAGAATAAAAAAAATTTATAACTTTGAAAACAATTTTTCAAGACTAGAAAACCAAAATAATATTGGTAAAATATATTTCTAATATCAAAAATTAGAAAAATTTATTTTTCAAGTCATAAATACGTTCCGGAACCAGAATATAAATTTAAAGAATTTAAAATATTAAATTTGAATTTTATATAATTAAAAACCGAATTGATGAACAGTACCATTTTGATTACTTCAAAAATACGAAATAAATACTTTTACGTTCTGAAAAATAACCTAAATTTTTATATAAGCATAGAAAATGAATTCCAAAAATCAATTTTATATTTTATAATTAATATATATGTCAAAAAACACTAGAAAATATAAGATTCCATTTTTAAAATTTATTCAGCATTTATAGCACAAATAACAAATATTCTACACATAAACTACTTAACAAATATAAAGAAAAATACCCAAATAGTAATTCTTAAAATAAAAAAGTAAAATTATATTAGGTACACTATCTAAATATGGCCACCTAATAAAATTTTATATTGGGACAAATTTGTGTCTCCAAAATTTATTAACTACAAACAACAACAACAACCCAGTTAAATCCCAAAAGAGTAGGGTCTGAAAAGGGTGTGTGTACGCAGACCTTACCCCTACTAGAAAGTAGAGAGGCTGTTTCCAAAGAGACCCCCGGCTCAACGTCGAAAGTTGCATTGCTTGACTAACTGCTATTTCATTAATTAAAGAAGCGCAGACAGTTTAGGAATCCATTTTGATTTATTCCATCACACCCCAAAGCCAAAGAATGGTGAAATTTTGGCTCCATCGGAGATGATGGTGACCAAAATTTATTAACTAATTTTTAAAAACGTTAACGGTAAAATTACTAAATAAGTAACTTCGTAATCCGGCTCTGTTAGAATATAAATAACTATTCCTGGGCCACAACCACAAGCTTGAGCTTTTGGTTGAGTTGGTTCCTTGACATGGTATCGGAGCCTCGTTGACTAAGAGGTCACGGGTTCGAAACTCAGCGCCACCCAGTTTAAAAAAAATTAAGGTTTCACGTGCAAGGTTCGAAAAAGACTACGCCTGCACGTGAGGGGGCGTGTTAGAATATAAATAACTATTCCTGGGCCACAACCACAAGCTTGAGCTTTTGGTTGAGTTGGTTCCTTGACAGGCTCCAATACCGCTATTGAAAAATGAGGCTTGGATTATGAAAAGGATATTAAAATTTGGAGTCTAGTGGTATGTTTGGTTGGGTGTAAAATATTTTCCAGGAAAATTTTGATTCCATTTTCTGTGTTTAGTGACATTAGTGGAAGGAAAACATTTTCCTACCAAACAATGGGTTATATGATGAAGAACAATTTTCCTTGGAATTATTTTCCTTTGAAAATATTCTTCAAAGATAATATTTTACCCACAACCAAACACAACCTAAATCTCGATTCCACCCAAGAACAACTTACACAAATTACTAGCTATAGTAAGAAATTTACCTTAACCGTGAAAAAAGAGTGACGGTTGGAGATGGAATAATTGAGTAGATAAACGTAGCACCAAACGTATGTTGCCTCTAACATATCCACACGAACTTACTCTGAAGTCCTAGACTAACCTTGTCCTAGCAAGTTTAATCTAGGATAGTAAAAACTATAATATTACTACTTTAGGGAATATTTTTTGGAAATATTTTGCGTAAAATTCTAATAACACTTTAGAAAATAAGTTTAACACCCAAAATATTTTCTGTCTTCCTTTTTTTGGTTTGGCCGATATTCACTTCCAAAAATAAGAGAGGAATGTCTTATTTTATAACAAACCATTAAGGAAACTTCATGGAAATAATTAGGAGACAAAAACAAAATTGATTAATGTAATATGTCCCTTATCAACACAACAAGACAAAAGACATAATCAATTAATAAAATATTTGATTAACAACTTTAGTCAAAACAAAATAAACATCATTTGTTTTTCTCCATGTCAATTTTAAAATGGACTAATTAAAAATACATCATATTTTATTTTGACATCAATAATTCTCATATAATTAAAAGATGAAAAATAAAATTATATATATATATATATATATATAAAATTTATATAATTTTATATGTATTTCAAAATACATATATAAAATTATCACAACTATATACTCCCTCCGTCCCCCTAAGATGTTCTCATTTTGACTTTTGGTGGTTTTTAAGGAGAGTTGAAAAAAGGTGGAAGTTTATCATAATACCCTTAATGAAAATGGATAGAGTGTATTAAATAAGGTGGGTAAGGTGTAATAAATAAAGTAAGTGGGGGTAGTTGTGGTATTTTAATTGTTAAAAAAAGAAATGAGAAGATCTATTGTGGACAAAGAAAAAGGGCTATTAAGAAGATCTATGGGGGATGGAGGGAGTATTTAATATGACTTCCACTAGTGTAGTATACTACTCCGTTACAAGTCCTAAGTGTGTGACCCTTTTAGGTATATATTCATAACATTGGAAATGATATTAATATTAATTAATACCACAGATAATTGGTGGTACTTAGCAAGACATTGTTACCTCCATGTTATGAAAAGACGACGTTCATCTCATCAATACCTTGTACGATACTAGACGTTCTATAACTGTTATCTTTCCGTCTAAATGTCATGATTCAACACAAGGCATGTGATGTGTATCCTTGTATAGTTGAATTAGTAGTTACTGAATCTCAAGTAGACTTGCAGGGATTAAATATTTATCAGTTTCTATATAGTGACATAACTAGGCATGGCCTTGCACTTTTCTAAGTCTTACTATTCAGTGGGCCCATTAACATTATACTTTTATACAATAGAAGGCACAGATCTTATATTTGTTTTTCACATCTCTAAGTATGCTTAGCGGCATGAGAGAAAGACTAAAATAAGAATAAAACATTCAAAATATAACAAAATAAGAGTACCATATTTTTATTTTCGAAATAGGAGTTAAAATGCATTTACATTACCAATCATGACCATGTACATTACGTAAAATGTACATGCATAGTGCCACATTACCACAGTGCAAACTCCTGTGTAGGAAATAAAAATATGGAACTCCTATTTTGCTACTTTCTCTATGTTTTGGTCCTATTTAGGTTAATTTCTTTAGTGGCATACCAAACGCATATCTGTACGTCTACCAGTATTTCAGATAGAATTAGTTATGAATCAAAGTATACAGCCTCACATACCCGAGAGTGTAATAACTTTAAGTCTAAGGATAGTTATAGCAAGGTCGTATTGAGAATACCGATAAACACATTACTATAGATCCATGCGATATTCTAAGAGCGGGTCAATCCAGTCACATATTAATGATATAATATGCACCTATGTACACATTAAGATATCACAATATCTATAGTCTATGAGACGTCCGTATTATCATAAGTGCGACTGGGGATATTTTAGACTTAACCTTCTTCAAGAAGTAATAGTGTCATAATCAGAATATCGTAGTCCTCATCTATGTTACTAAAGCGCTATAGTCCTCATCTAGTAACATAGGTATTTGATTGCCGCCAGGGCACCTGAATACAAAAGAGTAAAAATACATCGCAAAGCAATAAAACATTCGTAATAAAATGACACACCCCTCCAAATTACATCTCAACTCTAAAAGAAAACGAAAGAAAATATAATGGCACTAGCTTCAGCTAGGGGTGTTCAATCGGATCGATCCGATCCGATCCGATCCGAAAATTCGGATATCCGAAAATTTCGGATCATGTAAAACTCAATCCATATCCGATCCGAAAATATTCGGATATCCGAAATTCGGATATCCAATTTTTCGGATCGGATCACTGGATTATCCGAAAAATTGAGTTTTTAGCCATAATTTATAAAAAACAAGGTAAAATAGCAAAATAAACCCAAAATATT